CCTATAAGACCCTATAGGGATCCTAAAGGATTCTAAAGGATCCTATAGGTTTTTCGTGTTTCAAAAACCTTTAGGAAAGTCTATAGGTTTCCTATAGGACATTTCCGTAAGGGGGAGGACTTAGAGCTCACCCTGTACTTCCGTTCGACTCATGAAAGGAAGAGGTTCGCGGTCATGTTTCCGCTGATACGTCGGAAAGGGAAGAAAAGATAGCTCTATTTCGTCTTCATTCTCTGAATGAGTGTTCTTTCGCGACAAGTGTGCGAACTGTGTTTTGCGTAACAACGCTGGTTTGGTCAACATGTCATATCCTGTACCTAGGGTTTTCAACACGAGGCGGTAATGTTACCCTTACTTAATATTTTTAAATAGATTCGTAGATTAATGGTCGTTCAACCTTTTACGTTGCCTACTGGTTGATCTATCGGCCAACCTGGATTGAGACACCCTTGGGCTTCACTCAGTTCATATTTGGAAGGTCTTTCAAGCACGTGCAGACTTCTTTGCGTTCTTCAGATGCGTTTAAAGAATCTGGAGTAAGGAGTTGGCTCACGGAGCTGCGGCCTTCATGTAATTCGTAACCGCTCTTCTTGGTTGCCTCGCCCGCGTATAATCCAGCGCTGTTTTCCAGCTTCCTTGCAAGCCTCACCATAGATTTTCATCCATGCATTTTCGAAGCACATATTGATGGGATCTTTCTGGTCGTGCAGGCGGAGGACCATCTTCCAGTGATCCTGCGCAAAGGACTCGAGCTCCTCCACCGAATCTCTCGTAGGAGAGATTCGCCACGTAGTCATTCTACATATCCCGAGGCCTACCAATTGGAGGTCACTATAAATTGGGGGGCTCTTTTTAAGAGTCTCACTGCCTCATCGGAGGAGCTTGTATCCGTGGTCTCATTCATACAGTCGTTACCCACAGCTCGTGAACTAAGAGGTAAGGAGTTGAACGCCGCTAAAAACAGAAATTTTGCCCAATTGGGGATTTTCCGATTTGGAAATCTGAGTCACCTTGAGTTGGCGCAAAAACGAAAATCTGGCAGTTGCGGCTGTCAGTTTAACAGATCCCGAGGTACTCAAAAACTTCCACTTGATCCAGTGGGGGCTCACTGACATCTTCGGCACACTCTGTAGGCCTTCTTGAGAAAACCAAAACGAAGGACACTAGTTTTTATTCTGGTACATTTCGGGTCAAAACAGTCAAACACGCACTGAAGACTTTTCCCTGATCGAGTCGAAATGAAGGTATATCGTCATTTAGGCACTGTTCGCCAAGGGTCAGTACGTTCCAAGTCCCAATATCCTATGTCCGTTGTGTAAGTAGTTTGCTCGTTTGATATCTTTATCTGGAAAGTTAGCGTCGTGAAAAAAATATTGGATCATCAGTGACAAGAATGGGCCAGACGCACCCAACGACTTGAATAACCCTGCTCCTGAAGCCTACTTGTCAGTAGTCACCGAAGAAACATAATGACCATTGTAAACTTGATTGTCTCAGGAGACGACCCTTTAAATATGAAACTTCTGAGCTGAGCTCATCACGTCTCGGTCGCAGAAGACCGTGTATTACGGTATGACCTGGGATACCGCGATCATCCGAATCATTCCTCACGGAGTGGATGAGCGAGCCAGGGAGGACCAATGGTGGAATACAAAACACGGAATTGTACGTCATATGAAATTCAAGGCAGCGTCGCACAAAAGAAATAAAAGATACAAAAGCAAACAAAAAAATCTGATCGGATGCAAGCTAATAGCGCTGAGAATATCTGAATAACAAGAAATCCCCACGGTTATGAAGACCTCTGCTGTCCATAATGGTTTTGGAGAATTAGAAGGACTACATCAAGGATAATTGAGAATAACTGACCTAATTGACGCCATCTATTGAAGAACGACTCTTTCTCAATCATTTGCATTAGGAAGGCAAATAAGAAAGACCTTTACCTCACTCATCTTACAAAACCTCAGGCGAATTCGGAACCAGGTACACGTCCGCTTAGCCATGTTTCCACTTGTTCACCTGGTAGTGTGATGTGCACCAGGTGAGAAAGCCATCCCGGGGGAATGACCACCGAACTGAAGAAACACGTGCACAAGTAACCAGGCAGATTTCCACTGGGTGGGGTATCCTTCGCGGTAGATGAGAAGCAGAAGCAAAAAGGGAACCCGGCTAATATGAAAATCCCCAGCCAGAGTCATCATTTTTTCTTCGTGCTTATTCATCACGCTGCGGCATTGACAGGGCCGCACATCTGCGAGAAGCAAAAGTGGTAAGCGGAAGAACTTTTATTCATCCACTTTTTTGACGAAGTTCTCAATCATATTAATTTTTTTATGGTTTCTGCTCGATTTCTTCCCCAGGATTTCAAAGAACATTTCTGTACCAAATCTGGGGCAGAACGAATCCACTGTAGGAAATATGACCGAGTGGAGCAAGGTTACCTACAGTACTCAGGTGAGTCTAATATATTCACTTAGCTATGAAACCTGAAAGCCCTTCACGTTTCTTCCTGCCAAGTATTCACCGTTCAACAGGTATGGAAAGGATTGGTAACCGTCCAGGAATGTTGCAAAGGATATGAGGAGACTGAAGAGGGAAAATGCAAGGCTCAATGTAGCAAAGGATATGAGAAGACTGAAGAGGGAAAATGCAAGGCTCAATGTAGCAAAGGTTGCATAAAGGGAGTCTGCGTCCAGCCTGACAACTGCAAGTGTGAAGCTGGCTGGATGGTATGTCTCTTTTCGTAAGCTATTGTTAAAAGCACTCATTAAGTTGTGTGTAGGTTGCCCCCGGGAAGGGGAGGAGGGGGATGGTGGAAGGAAAAACACAAGACTCAAAATTTTCACACATAGAAAAAACGAGATTCAAAGATCTTCTCAAACTCCGAGGAGATGGAATGTCAAAATACCTAAAGCGATACTGTGTAGCAAATTCCACTTCGTTCCTCCAGATGCCATCAAGGAGAAGTATGAGAAAGTGGAATTTTGTAACTGGAAGTGCCTCAAAAAAGGGAATAGACGCCACAAATGCTTATTAATGACAATGAGATTCAATGCACTCACCATCTCATCAATTAAGCCCGACAATGCGATGAAGAATGTAAGTACATGACATTCAGACGGAACTACATAAAGGAATGCGATTGTGAACTATCGTCCCCCTTACGAAAGAGTCCTATAGGAATCCTATAGGTACATACAGGAATCCCGTTGGATTTCCATAGAACCAATTGGGTTCCCATAGGAAGCATGCATTCCGATATGGAGTCCATGATATTCCTATAGGAACGAATAGGAATCCTATAGTTATATCTTATATGTATAGGATTCTTATAGGTTTCTTATAGATCCTGTAACGTTCCTTTAGGAATGTATACATTAGGTTTTCTATATGATCTATAAGGTTCCCATAGGAAAATAAGTCCTACAGGACACATTATTTCCTACGGGGAATCCAATCGTAATCCTATGGGAATTACTTGGAATCCATTAAGTCTCCAATGAATCCTATATTTCCATAGGAAATTCATCCGTCCCTATGAGTCTTGGACATTCCCTAGACCCTAGAGAAAGATCGCTTCCGAAAGCAGACCGTCAGCTAAAAATGGTGCGTACCATTGCTCCAGGGACTCAAAATTTCTCTTAGGTTATCTATAATACATACCAGTACTTTCTCAAAGGACTTCCGAGAGTCAATATCTGGTGCTACTGGGGACGCATGGGGAAAGAGTTCATAAGTACCGAATATGTAAATGTCCACACCATGGGAAAACCCTCTCCCTTGCAATGAATTTAGTGCATATAGCAGAGCCCAATATCGGCCCAATTTCGACCTCGGTCCCCTGTAGCACCCGACATAGGCCCAATGCTGGACCGACATTGGGTACGTTGGCTAGATCTTGGACAATATTGCCAATATAGGGTGACTGTTGGGAAAACAATGAAATTCCGAAATTGCTCTACCATTATTCATCCAATATTGGTCCAATGCACGGTGATCCAATGTGCCCGACCGCACTTGAAGTTATCCTTCAGACCACTAGATGGAGGAATAGGTCTCGCTTTTCTCACAGTACACAGAAGTACCCTTCCCTCTTTCCCTGTAATCGTCCCTCATAGGAGTGTTTAGTACCTCGCCATAAGTCTCGCCTAGTTTCATCATAGCAATCAATAAACTCGGATATTTCATCATTTGTTATCCTCATATACGAGTCAGAATCATGGAGCCCAGGCCATAAACAAGCTCATATTCCCTGTGGGAACCGTTTATGAAAAAAAGAGAAATAACCGCTGGTTCAATCCTCCTTATCCTCATACTTTGGACATAATGAGAAAACAAAGGATTGAATTCGACGATACTCCGTAGGACAGTAAGGTGTGGACCTTCCCCTGAAATGTACTACAACTAGTTTATTCATTCACTGTACTATTCTAAAGTTCATTCTCTACTATTTGATGTCTCCTGCCTATCCATGAGCAGAGATGTGCATGAGCAGGGGATTGTATTTGTACGGGCTGTACCAATACTGCAAACAGAATTGCATTCATCTTGGGAATACCTACACTAGGTAAATAATTTAGAGAAAATATTAAAGCCAATATTGGCCCGACAAGGGGCCCGATAGTAATCTCAATAACGGTCCAAGATGGATTCCAATGTTGAGCCAAGATGTACCAGTATATTCCTTGGCAGCCGATATTGAACCAATATTGGGTTGCTATTGAGGTAGTCATCCCAATTAGAAGTAATCCCGGTTGTATTGCCGAAACCAAAACAACCTCAACGAATCCTATGGGTGAGGAGTCCAATAAGATCCTACAGGGATCCCATAGATTTTCCATGTTTCAAAAACCTATAAGAAAATTCTATGTTACTCATAAAAATCATTTATGTGTCCATTAGGACTTTTTCGTAAGGCCTATTAAGTAGGGACGTAAAGCCATATCCTAATGCCGCAAATTTGAATGGTGCCATGGCATGATACCTGCGAAATTTATTTGCATGCCATTTTTTCACTAGGGTGAACGATGCGATGTAGCTTGCGAATGGATGAGATTCGGCCCGAACTGCTCCAAGCCGTGCGATTGCGACCCGGAATTCGCCGGAAGGTGTGATGCAGTAACAGGTTCATGCATCTGCAAACCAGGTGCCCATGGTAAGTTTTAGACCAATTTTCTGATTACCCATTTATTGTTATTTTTATTAGATAACAATTGCTTGCTGAAAATTGGACGGCTTCCTAAAATGGAAGCAATTGGCTGTCCCTTCCTTCTTGTTCGGTTCTTGGATAGTTAAGCCGGAATTTTGCGAAAGGTGTTTCGGGGAGCAATTTTTGACAACTAAGAAAATGACCTGGTTTCCTTCAAAATTCATATGGAAAGGTTGCAGAATATAAAGAATCGTACGCGATTTCCACATTCGAGAAATCTTATTGCTGCTCAAGAAAATTTTGCTATCGGAATCCCATAGGATTGTTTCATCGTACACGATCGAAGAGCTACGAGCAAAAATTCATTCGAGACATGTGAAGTGAAATCCTGGAGTTCGTGGCTCGTCAGCTCAAATGTAATACTTAATATAATAAATTTCGCAATGGTAAAAGAAAAACATTACCTCTTTCTGTGCAACCAATCTATTTCTCAACGTCATACGAGAAATTAATGTCACTGAGCATCATTCTCATTGTCAGTTTCGACTATAAACTTGTCGCAAAGTTCACGAAAGCGATGAATTTCGCGAAGTTGAGACGTTTGAACTGGGTCCAGGCACAGGGCGGTGCGTGTGCGAGAAAGGATGGACGGGGACGAACTGCGACCAGATCTGTCCCGATGGAACGTACGGAGAGGAATGCAAGGGGAATTGCCCCAGCTGCGTCCATGGTGAGCCAAGTATTTTATTAAAACTAGCCAACCCTTGGAAAACTTCCACGAACTCTTGGGCAAGAACTCCTGGGTGCATTCGTGGCTCTAAAACTCGGTGGCCCTCTCATCGCTATAGGTGCCCTAACGAAAATGTATTATAGGATTCGTCTTATAGGATATATGGCTGATCCATAATATATGGCTGGTCTTTTGGCTGGGCCATAAATTATACAGACCCGCGCAGTACTGGTATTACTAATGCAAGTGTCCCTACCATGGAAAAACCCCTTATCGGTATTTGATTTACACCAAAATGCTGCGCCAATATTAACCCCGGTCGACTTTTCCGTCGTAATGCCTGGGTTTCGAAACCCAAAAAATCCTCCCCGAATCCTATAGGTCAGGAGACCTATAAGACCATATAGGGATCCTATAGGATCCTATAGGATCCTATAGGTTTTTCGTGTTTCAAAAACCTATAGGAAAGTTTATAGGTTTCCTATGAGACATTTCCGTAAGGGTAGCAGACCCTCTTTCCCAATCTTTACACGTCGCAACGTATAACCCTTGGAGTCCCATTTCATCCCGCTGAAGAAACGATGATTTCCTCGTCGGGGTGAGACCTACGCCCTTTCATTCATCGGAATTCCGACCCCTATAGTGATCGGCACTTTTTCCTTTGGATCGCAACCGTGGAGTCCGTGGAGTCCATCTCCATCACTTTTCATGCAAGCCTATGAGTGAAATATATATGAATATGGAAACGGGATGGTTATGACACGACCAGCGGCATCTCTACGATCTAAGAATAACCTTTCCGTTCTATCCCACCGCTTTCACACTTGGGAGTTACTCTCCTTCGCGTGGAGGAACACTGCAAGTCTGCAATTGTACGTGGGTTTGCCCTGTGAAAGTTCATGTCGAGATGTGAACATCCCTAAGTTGGGGGAGAGAGGGACAGATGCGCAAGGTGCACAGTGACTCTTTCCCATTCTCAAGAACGGATCCGACAGTCGCAAAGGCCGGAGAGAATATGCGATCTCGAGAGCGTGAGCAGGGTACTCCAACCTGATGGATGTCTTCCAAAAACTGTTTCTTGGGAATTTCCGAACTCAGCGGCCCTCTCAACGATAAAAGCAACAGCCCCTCTATCCCGTTCTCGAGAATGACCTGTGGAAGAGTTCCACGAAGTTCGCGTCGGTCAAGGCCAGGGGTGTCAAACTGCCGACCCTCCACTTGCTTTCGTCCGGCCTGCAAAGTTCTCTTCAACAGCTGCTTTTCGAAAAGTATGAACTTTTTCAACCTGTTAGAAATTGAAACTTTGGTGTAAGATTTGCTAATGCGGACCCAACCACCCCTAAAGGGTACCATGCGGTCGTCAGCTTAATCAATTTCGACATTTCTTGCCTAGGCTAAGCGTGTAACGTAGTTAGGGCCGCCAAAAGAAATTGTGAGACCTAGGGCAATATTCACGTAAGGGTCCCCTTCCCCAGTAGCAACCTAATATTGGGTCAATATATATCGCCAAGATCCGCCAAGATGTATACATCTTGGCTATGCATTGGCGCCCATCTTGGACCATTATTGGCATTACTACACGGAAAAACATCGGGCCAATATTGGCGTTAATATTTTCCCTAATTTTTTTTCCAGTAGAGGCATTCCAATGGTGAGGGCGTTTCACTATGCAGTACTAGTACGGCCTGTACCAATATAACCCCTTGCCCATGCACAAGTCTCTCTGGTGCAAAAGCAGGAGACATAGAACAGTAAAGAGATTGACCGTCCCTGAATGTACTAATTGTAATACATTTCAGAAGAAGGTCAACACTTTCTTGTTCTGCGCAACATTTGTAATCTCAGTCCTTCATTTACTCATTACGTCCTCAGGATGCGGAAAAGGAGGATTGATTACCACAAATACATTACACGTTCTAATACTCTTTTCGATAGAGGAAAACTGCGTTCGAAGGGGCTCTCATAGGGAATATGAGCTTGATTATTTCCTGGACTCCATGATTCTGTCTCGAATATGCGGATAACAAATGATGAATTGTCCGACTTTATTGANTGAGGGAAAACCGCGTTCGTAGGGGCTCTCATAGGGAATATGAGCTTGATTATTTCCTGGACTCCATGATTCTGTCTCGAATATGCGGATAACAAATGATGAATTATCCGACTTTATTGATTAGCTATAATGAGACTAGGCGAGACATATAGCGAGGTACTAAACACTCCTGTGAAGGACAATTACAGGGAAAGAGAGAAGGGTACTTCTGTGTACAGTGAGAAAAGCGAGACCTATACCTCCATCTAGTGGCCTGAAGGGTAGCTTCAAGTGCGGTCGGGCACATTGGATCATCGCGTCGGTCCAATATTGGATGAATAATCATATTGCATGTCGGAATTTCAATGTTTCCCCAACATTCGGGCAATATTGGCGATATTGTCGGTCCAGCATTGAGCCAATATCTGGTGCTACTGGGGTTTCCACTCCCCCCCCCTCCCCCCCGATTCAAACACGAACCCTGCGCTACTAAACAATAATGCGTATATCATCCGGTGTGGGGCCCCTTAGGCAAGAGTCACGAGGCATATTGCCCCTTCCCCCCCTCTCTATGGTTCAGAATATAGTCGGGAATCCACGAGTTCAAACAGCACTTGAACACTACGCGGCAGCCGCTCTCCCTCCCTTTCTCGAGGATGAATCCAACAGTCTTGAGGATTCAAAGAAACTGCTCGCTCTCGAGCGAGACAGAGACCCCTACCCGTTGAAGACATCCACGAACTCCGGGTCGGCCTAAGCTAAGCGGGTAGCATTTTCGGATACTCACGAGGTCAGTCGGCGGTCCTATAAATGCTCTAAGCAGCAGCCGCTCGGAGATTGTACGTGTTGTACACCCCCAAACCTCCCCTTTTCCCAAGGGGTATTCGCGCCTTCGATAAGGACTTTTCATGAGTGGTACCCGTATCCAGTATCGATCGCGGTCCTGTGCGTATCGTCCGTAACGTCCATCTCCACCACAACTCATGAAGGCTTGGAAGTGAAAAACACGGATAGAGAAACGGAATAGTTACTACGCGGCTGACGTCGTCTTTCCGATCCAAGGTCCAAGGGTAGCTGCTCCTGTTCCATGCAAGTGGGATTCCGCCGTTTTCACCCTCGGGAGTCACTCTTCTAGCGAGAGTGCCAATCTAATGAGGATGGGGTTCCGATTGATGAAGGGGTCGGGATCCAGATAAATATACGGAAGGAGAATCATCGTGGTGGGGAAGTCATCCTTCCTCCAGGGATGAAAGGGGAATCCAAGTGTTATACGCGGAGCGTTTTACCATCCCTGCGGAAAAGTCTATATTGGATATGTGAACACCCCCTAAGTAGGGTGTGGGTAGAATGCCTCTCTCTCATGTTATAGTGTCAGGGATGGCTTGGAGAGGACCCATTGGACAACGTTGGTTCGTTGGTGAAGTGGTACGACACTTGACCGGCTAATCAGAAGGTCCAGGTTTCGATTCCCGCCCGCTCTTTCGATTTATTTCTTCTTCTTTTGCTATCCGAACTCATCCCTCCCCCACCCCTCCGGCTATTACGTTCTCAAGGCAGCCGGAAAGAAAGGGAGAACTCGAAAGAGCGAGACAGACACCTGGAGTCAGTCTGAAGGCGCCGCGCATGCGCACATGCTGCTGCAGACATGCAGACGCCCAAGCATAAAATATATAAAAGGGATGGAGTCGTGACTCAGTTTGGGTTATTCTGTCAGAGGATGAAAATTAAATCTCAGAAGAGATGGAAGTAAGGGCAAATTACTAGGGAGCAAACATTTTAGGGGCCAAATTGTTAAGGAAAAATATTTGCAAAAATAATTCCATGTAAACATATTTTTAAAGGAAGGTGCCACCACACGACTGGAGAATGCGTGTGCAACCCCGGCTACACGGGCAAAGTGTGCGATGACGTCTGTTCCAAACATCGCTTTGGAAACCGATGCCAAGAGATCTGCACCTGCAAGAACGACGGCGAATGTCACCACATCACCGGTCTGGTTAAAAGCATAGGGTGGATTGCATGAAACTGATTTTAGCGTAATAAAGCATTAAACTTCCATTAGCATGCAAACGTTAAAGGAGGTTTAAAGCTTTATTACGATGAATTCAGTTTTCTTACTCAGTCGTTCAGGAGAAGTTCCACTTGTCTGAACGACAAAGGAATTCACAGGAGAATGCACTTGCTTGGATGGCTGGAGAGGAGCGGAGTGCGAGGAGCCTTGCCCGGAAGGAACTTCCGGCTTCGATTGTCGTCAGAATTGCAGCTGCGGAGGGCGGTGCAACGTGACGCATGCGGAATGCGAGTGCCTTCCTGGGTGGATTGGGCAGAGCTGTCGGGAAGGTTTGTCTACATTCTCTACTATTCAATACTTGAGTTGATTTTCATTCTCTGACAGGCTTTTTGAACTATTCCAGCTTGCCCCGAAGGATTCTTTGGAGAGCAATGCAAAAATATGTGCGAGTGCTCCGAGGGGAATTTCCAGTGTCACCATATCGATGGCTGCACGTGCAAGCCAGGATTTCAAGGTCAGTCAAATTTTCCTGCGTCGGCGAACTCCATTTCCCCGATCACTCCTCTTCACCTCGCGTTTCCTTCTTGCAGGTGACAACTGCAAAGTCCCAACCCCTCATTCCAAGCAACAGTCAGACAGAAGCTGGATCATCGGAGGATTGATAGGCGGCACGGTCCTCATCATTCTCTTCATCCTCGGGCTCGCCGGCTTCTTGATCCGCCTCAGGCGTAAAGCCCTCATCCGAAGAAAGATGTCTCGCCAATCATATATCCGCACTGCACCTCGACCTGGTAAGAAAAAATTGTTACTAACAAACCCTAAAAAATCTTTTTTCTGCTATCAATACGACTCAAAACAACTTCGACATGTCTCGCTGCAGGAAAGACACTAGTCGCCACCTTTCCACTTGTAGGATGAAGTGGGGTAAAAGTAACTGTGGAGTAAATGTAACAAAGGTTTGTCTTTCTGCTAGTACATATGATAGAACTTCCTTATTTTGTGTGAATAAAATATAGTACTTTTTATTGCTTGATATCGTACATATTTTGGCTTCTCTGTGATAGGCTATGAACTTCTATTTTGAGCACCCTGGAAGGAACATTTGGAATCAAAAGTATTCTATTCTGGGGCAACTTCTTTTCTCATCCTAAACAATGATGGTAAACATAGTAATAAAAAATATTATATTTGCTTGATATGAACTTCATGCTCTCAAAAATTCGGACTCGGGCCTCATCACATCCTTAGAGTCAAATGTTACTTTTGGAAAGTTGGGTAGTAGGGCGACTGTACCATCCTTGGTAAGTTTGGTACGGGCGACTGTACCACCCTTGGTAAGATTTTACTTTTGCCCCCTTGGGGCAAAAGTAAAATCTCGTAAATTATGTGCTAAGTGCCGATAGCTTTTGAAGTCTCTTTCAAGAAAGAAGACCAAGTATTGGGCATGGGGCTTCTTCAAGATTTCGTAATGGTTCGCACGTGCAAAAGGAAAACTGAGAGGGGTGTGGATAAATAATACACCAATGGAGATCGAGTGAGTGCTGTAAATTCCCGTTATAATCATGAAAGGAACTGGAAAATAGCCTCAAACAATCATGGTGTGCTTGAGAGCATCATCAACATGCGCCTTAGAACCAGAAGAATTGGACTTGACCTTTCGCATCTGGCGGAATCTTGCGTTTCCGCAAGTATTGGATACACCCTGGAATCTGTCTTGAAAAGAATTGGGGATCATTTGTCAAGAATGGAAGTCATATCACTTGCTAAATGTTAATGCCAGGTTAACATGATGAGAGGCGACAAGTTAGGAGATGCATTCCGTTGATTCATGACCAGGTATTCTTCACTAACTCTGAAAAAAGCAGAACTCCTGCAGTCTTATCGAGCCAAGCAAGCTGTTCCAAAGGGCCATAGCAGATTTGTTCAAAGTCATTGTTGCAACATATCAAGAGCTTGGCTTGTATGAATAGAATGTACCTATTCAATAGGATTTTGTATTGAATGCAGACAAGACGGGTTTTTACCAGGATCGCAGAGAAACCAAAAGTTTTAAAGGGAGCTCCGCTTTCCTGCCAGAGCAAATGTTCTAGATGGGAATTCACATAGATTTTTGTCATTATTTAGTGCATCAGGAAGGCACAGGCATTCAGAGAAATCGGTAAATCGAGATGATATACTTCTCTCAATTTTCGCATTTCGACTTATTTTTCTCAAGAGAAAAAGACATCAACCGGATTTTTTATTTATATCTCTCGATTCCCGACCGTGCCGGGTCGCCCGAAAGGCGTTCACAAAACCGAAATGCGTCTATAGCCGAGTCGAGAGGGCGGTTTGAGTTGCCTTGCCTCGTCTAGACGCATGTTAACCTCCATATTCCATTTCGTGCCGAGGAAGCCTCCCCCCCCCCCCCCCCCCCATCAACCCTCGGGGCAATGCATTGACAGTCAAGGGATTCACACGCAACCGCCTGAGTGCATGGCCTCTTTGACACTTCACCTCCCTTCGGAATTCTCACGCAACTGCTTGTTCATTTTTCGAGTCCCGTTTCATATAGTGTTTGTTTACCGTTTGGTGCGTTGGTGGTGGAACACGTATCGTCAGTAGGGTAAGATCCGACCATTAACTATAGATAGTTAACAGTCCTTTAAGAATACATGGATTCCTATGGGAGAAAAATAGCTCATTCACTAAAAGGCTCCGTTATCTCCCCTAAATGAGGTTTGTGCATTCGGGCTCTAGGCTCAAAAGCCATTGCATTGTCACAATAGGTTTGTCTGAGATTAAAGAATACTAGTGAGTGCCTATTGTCTTGAATCAATTGGTGCACCCGTAAATTATTTTCGGATTGAATCCATAGTACCACTATCCTCATGGTAGAGGAAAACGGAGACAGAACGCTCAGACTCAAGAAGAGACACCCTTCATCAGATGGTTTTAAAGAACCATGCTCATCGGTGCCACTATCTACAATAGATGGAAGTGCTCCTTTGTGTGTGTGTTTTGAGGATGAGTGGGGTTCGAACAGTGGCGTATTCAGGTTTTTTTTCCATTTGGTTTTGTATAAAATAAAATAAAATTCAGAGAAGATAAAGTTGTTTCTGGCTTCATTGCACACATAACGTCATGTAGGAATGTGAAAACCAATTTAAAAGGTTTTACCTTTCTTCAACCTCAACCTCAACCTCACCCTTACCCTTACCCTTACCCTCACCCTCACCCTCACCCTCACTAACCCTCCCCCCACCCACCTTCTCTACGGAACTCACTAACGTTAGGCCTAGGCCTAACCACGGACTGGCATCGGGTCAGGCCTAGGCCTACCTTTTTTCTTTGAAAAGATACTCAATCCTCGGCCTACGGACCAATTAGGCCTATAAGGATTAATCCCTGGTCTTCGAGACACCTCATTGAGGACGTGTAACGTTAGGCCAATCGTAGGCCTATTCAGTCTCTCATAGCACATTTAACAAAGAACGTGTGTCGTTTAGAACTTTAACGAGTTTCATGAGCCATTTCAGTGCGGTAGGGGAACATTAGGCCTATCCAGAGTTCCTCGAATCGTCTCGACTCGTACCGAGAAGGTGCCTTTAGAAAGTATGACATGGAAGCCGGCCGCCTTCGTGTTAATTTAGGTATGTCCGAATGAGATATCTCCGTATTCCACCAGATCAATGAGCCACTGCAAAACACCGTTTCATTCTCAGTTCATCCCATGAATTCAGCACATTAATGTCTTCTACTGTACAATAAAAAGAGATGATCCAGACAATGATACTAAGGCCGATGAAGTCATGAATCTGGGATAACTAAGGCACGATATACGGCAACACTGGAGGACTGGACTGGACCCATCGCGCTAAGCCTAAATTAACGGCATCTAATTTCATTTTTCATGGCGAAATGGTGAACTGAAACCAAAAATGAGATTTTTTGTCACCTCCAGGTCAAAATCTTTCGTTTGGTTGGTCTCTTTTCCTCCAAAAACTTCCCAGGAGCGGCTACCCATGGGGGGAGAAAAAAAATTCCGGAATGATTTTCGCATCTCCCAAAAGCGAGATTCAGTGCTCTCCACAACTCCGGGGAGATGGAGCTTCAAATTTGCTGGAGTGATTTTGTGTTGAGAGAGGAGAAGTATGCCAAATTTCATTCATGTCGATGCTCTCAGAGAGGAATACGAGACGGTTGAACTTTGCCGCCGGAAGGGGTTGAAGAAAGATAATGGGCGCTACTGGGCCCATTGATGAGCACCGCTTTTTTTCTCTCATATACCATGTTCAGGGGGAGAACCTAATAACAAAAAGTGATACTTCTAGTTTAAAATATTGATTGAATTTATTAAGCTCCCCAGGTCTCTTTGGGAAAATTTTCCATGGACTTCAGTTCCACTTTTCAGTCATATTTCCAATGTTATTGATCCTCAATAGAATACCTTTGATTGCCTGTTCAAAGTGGAGAGTCTTTATTGCAGCTTCAGGCATTTCATTACAAAAGTACTGCTTGAGGTCCAAAAGCGTCCCAACAGGGCCTGGTGATTGAAAAAAAAACAGCTTTTGTCCTAAATGATGTCTTCTACAGAATTTCTCTTTTTAGCTTAAGTACATTAGGTCTAGTAAGATCCTACTGCTTCTGATAGAATGAATTACAAGTTGATCCTGCATCAGCACGCCACATACATCACTTTAGGAAAATGCATGAATGTTTTTTGTGTTGCTGAAATGCTGGACATATATGAAAAATTTTGATGCTGCAGAAGTGCATCATATACCTGACCAATATATACAGAATCAAACAAATGCATTTAGGTTGCGAAAAAAACTGTCCTCCAGGTGATGCATTTTTATCGCATCCAACATTTGATGCGATAAAGACGCATTACATGCAGGACATATATTTTCGCGAGAAAAATGCATCAAACGGAGGCATTGAATTTTCTATGGGCCACCTCTCGTCATTGAGAGAGTAAAGAATTTCTGGGATACATGGACATCTTCAAACGCATACCCTGGCACAAACCACGCTGTATCAGGTAATGGATGGATGGATTCACTTATTTTTAATAGAACAGTTCAAGAACCCGTTTGTTCCCCATGCGAAGAACATCATTCGAGAAGGAAAAAGACTGACCTCTTGTACGCCGGTCACATATCTCATGTGACAACCCTTACGAAAATGTCTTACAGGATTCCTATATATTCCTATGAGAATCCTATAGGAACCTAAAGGAATCCTATAGGTTCCTATATGCCCCTTAGAGTTCAGTTCTCTGGATTTCGAAACCCAAAATATCCTCCCCGGGTCCTATAGGTCAGGAGACATATAAGACCCTATAGGATCCTATAGGTGTTTCGTGTTTGAAAAACCTATAGGAAAGTCTATAGGTTTTCTATAAGAAATAGTTAAAGGTTTCCTATAGGACATTTCCGTAAGGGAATTGAGCTCATCTTGTGTTCCATGGAATCCGACATTGGTCTGGTGAAACATCAACCACTTACTCATCATATTATCTAGCCACTTGATAAAGGGGTTATGGACCACTGAAAACCGCACAGTTCACAAATTAGTATCATTGGGCCTCGTAAGACTTCCAAAGAGAATATCGAAAATTGAGTTCGCAAAGCAACGATGAATTTTTTGGCAGAAAATAGATGCAACTCATATCAATGTTGACTACCAGGGAACAGGAGTATTTCATTCGACCCCTTCTCTCTACAAACAAAAAGGCATTGCTATGTCAGTCGTCCATCCGGCAAGTTTGGCACCTGCAAGAATTTAATGTCTCATGTCGCCTCGTGATTGGTTAATTGTCGTTGAACAATCACGTGGCGACGTAAGAGAATGACTTCAGCAGTCGTCTCTAGCGGAGACATGGGAGAGGTCAACTTTATAGGAACGAGAAGATACGTCAAAGTAGCACAGTTTAAAATCAGTCTTACCAGAACGAATCAGGCTCAGTCATACACATCCTACTAGGATCTTGAGGAACTCCTGCTTCAGAAAATTCAGAAGACAGATGCAATTACTATTTAGAGGAGGACGGTTGCTTCTTCAAGGGTTGGAGAAATTCCCACTCATTAATATGTGCTTCAGCGCATGTTATCCAAAAGGTAATGGATCAGAATAAATAACGAAATGCAACCAAATAATAATTGAAATGAAATGAATAGAAAAGAAAAAATAAATTAAGGAATCGCCAGAATGACCTTTGGGTTTCTGTTTAGCTTCTTGTTCTGGAGGCAGAGTGCAAGGAAATGCTTTATTTTCAGATATTGAAGAGTATCAGGATGAAATCCAATAAATGTCTGTAGGTGAATATGAACAACGAGAATGCATTTAATTCAATTAAGAAACATATAGACAGTTTTTACGACCGAGTTTACAGTGAGAAATGTGACGTCATTCCTCCTTTAAATTCTATTCTATCCCATTATGATAATTTGTCAACCTGCCAAAAGGATGATTAACCTGGTTCATTTTTCCATTCTCGCATTCCAGGCGTTTACTTCAGACGAAGGATACAAGGGGCTGATCGGGAAAATGCAATTTCCATTCGTCTGTAGCAGAATTGAAACGAGGAACTGAGAAGCGGAAGGACTTGATATCTCCACAGCTTGGAAATGAAGAGAAAGCGAAAGCAAATTCATGTTGCTATTTTCTGAAGTCTTGGATTACCGTACATTCCTCGTCTCTTCTGCAGCACTCAAGGGGGAAGAAACCGTCTTGCTGGATGGAATTCGCAATTCGTTCATCTCAACGACTTTTCGCATCTGGCAGCAGCTAATTTTGCCAAATAAAAATTGAGTCATTGATTGCATTTCCCTGCCTTTAAACATTTCTCAAAGAGCGAGAACCGATGGAAAATGATTAGTTCTGGAGTAATTTCTCATCAAATGTAATTGACTTCTGAGAACTTCGAAAAAAATTTTTTTTCTTTTTACTTGTTCAATCGATTTGAATCTCGCACTTCTTGACGACGAATCCGCGCTTTCATTTTTCACGTCTAAAAGTGAAATTCGATCAGCTGGGCGATTTTCATCTTCCTACTTAAGGAAGATGAAAATGGTGTCATTCATGATAGGTCAAATACTAAAAATATGGAAATTGACTATCAATTTGCATAATTTCAAAGGCACCCCCACCCTCTTTCTTTGCGCTGACGCCACATGACGTACGGAAACAGCACAATCTCTCCCACATCGACAAGGAACTTTGACAGACTTAATTGGGCTGATCAGCATGATCAATGACAAGATTTCTCAAATAGAAGGTTTCGATGTTTTGCTTCAGCTTTAATGAAGTACTGAGTTTAATGAAGAATATGCATAATAATAAAAATCAGCCCCTTAATTATAATTAGCATTATTATTCATATTAGTGGCTGACTCGTGGAAAACTTGCACGAACACCAGGTCGGCCGAGGCAAATTTGCGTATCAATCGGAAGTTCGCGACTTGAGTCGGCAGGCCTCTTAAGGCTCTACGCAGCGGCCCGTTCTCGAGAACGGGATCTGACAGCCGGGATGGCCGGAAAGAAAGTGCGAGAGAGGGAAAGAGACGAACACCCGGATGTGCAGGGTGTCCCATATGCAACACAAACCGAATATGTTATAGTGTATTCGTTTAATTATTAGTGACACTGCCATGGTCTGAAGTTGCTTGGAATGGGCGATACGGCAATCTGGCAGAGCCGCAGCGGCAGTTTTTCCACGATCGCCGTCAGGTACGTGCACTGACCATAAGTTGGTCAAAAATATAAACAAATATTTGGCGCAAAAAATATTCGTTCCTCATTCATTGTTCATGAATTTGAAGAAGCGTCTTTCATTTGAGTCATTGGATAATGGGGACATCTGACAAAGGATCTCCATCTCTTCCCTCAGAGATGCATATTGAAATTTTTTCTACGTAAAAGCTCTGCAACTCAACTTATAAATTTCAAATGACTTCATTAATCGAAACAATTATATATTTAATCCTTCAAGGTACTCCCCCTCCCCCCAA